TCTTGTATTGTGAGAAAGAGAGGAAAGTACTTCTTTCTCTACCTGCTCTATCCCATGCATAATCTTACAAACCTCGATCATGTCACCCCTCAGCCGTCGTTTCTCCAAGCTAAAGAGCCCCAAGCACTTTAACCTTTCTTCATATGGAAAGTGTTCTAACCTTTTTATCATGTCTACTGTAAAATGCCAGGAGATTTTGCTTGCAATCCATGTTCCTTTATGCAATGGCGGTATATGCGCAGTTGACTTCAGCCAGGACCCCTTTCCTTTGAAGTTGGAAGTGCCCGGAGCCGCGTAATTCCACTGATAGAGGCGAAAGGAACGCCCGAGGAGGCGGGGCAAGTCAGTGAAAGAAGGGCCTGTGTTTCTTCACCACCAGAACCCACGTGGGGGGGGGGGGCGCTGCAGTTCAAGGGAGGAAACTAGCCCCTGGAGGAAACATCTGCAAAAAGCCAGTCACTCCTGTGTGCTGCTGCCAAAAGGTTGAAGCAGAAAAACTCAGTGCGACGCAAGATCCTTTGGATCAAACGGACAGCAGCCGCCCTTCAGTCTGCAAGGGGGAAGCCAATGCGGGCAGGGGCCCAAAATAAATGGCCAAGACTGTGGCTTGGCTATAGGGTCTACAGCCTCCTGGTGGAGCCAAGAGATTTCCCGGAATGACGACTGATCCCCAGACTACAAAGATCAGTTCCCCTGGAGAAAATGGCTGCTTTGGAGGGTGGAGTCTGTGGCATTTATACCCTGCTGAGATCCCTCCCCTTCTACAAACCCTGCGGTTCCCAGACACCACCCCCAAATCTCCAAGGATTTCCCAGCCCAGAGCTGGCAGCCCAATAACCATTTAGTTTATTATGTATTTATTGTTTTGATTTACACCCCATCCTTCCACAGGGCCTGCAAGACGGAGTTGTTCCGCCAGGCCTTTAATTAGGAGCCGCACCGGGAGAAAAACCCTGCCCCCCTAGAGCCTTAAGCCGCCTGAGCCAGCCGCACGATATCAGATTGCGGCCGACCACTTGAAAGGTTTTGAAGCTGAACGCCATCTTGTTAAATTATTAAATTGTTAATGACATCTGGATTGTATTGATGAGCCCCTTTTAATATTATACTGTTTTACTGTTTTGTGATTTTATGATTAGTATATTATTTATTGTTGTTTTAAATTTTGGGAAGCCGCCCTGAGCTGGCTATTGCTGGGAGGGCGGGGTATACGTTTAATAAAGAAAATAATAATGAATGATAAGTGGGCTCAGGCGGCTCACAAAAATTAATTTAGTACCATCTTAAAAGAATTCAAGCAGGCAATAAATAACAGTATTAAAACAATACAATAAAGCCAATTTAAAACATTTAAAGCGGGCAGTGCAATATAATCAGTTTCAGTTCCTACATCCGGGAAATGAGTGGGCCAGTGCCGAGCCATAGTGGTTTCACGCAACAGCAATAGGGAGGCCAGCTGGTACATATCCTATAATGTGTATATATAGCCCAAGATATTGAATTTGCATTTGGAGGGAGTCTGCACAGGGAATCCCCAAGATGCTGGTTGTGAAGTCGTGGGAGACAGAGCGGAGAGTGAAAGCAGGATTGGCTGCTCCCCAAAATAAAATTCAGGAGTAGCATCCAGGGCGAAGCTTGGAGTCTGTGGTGGGTCGGCTGCCTGTTTACCGAAGGTATCCTCGTGACTACCAAGCATCTGAGAATCTCGAGCTGCTTTGTCTATCACGTTTTTCCCCACCCCTTCCTACAGGTTAAGAACATAAGAACATAGGAGAAGCCAATGTTGGATCAGGAAGTGGTGGCAGCTACAAGCATGGACGGCTTCAAAAGGGAATTAGATAAGCATATGGAGCAGAGGTCCATCAGTGGCTATTAGCCACAAGGTATAGATAGGGACTCTGGGGCAAGTGATGCTCTGTCTTCTTGGTGCTTGGGGGGGTCAACAGTGGGAGGACTTCTAATGTCCTGGCCCCACTGGTGGACCTCCTGATGGCACTGGTATTTCTGGCCACTGTGTGATACAGAGTGTTGGACTGGATGGGCCTTTGGCCTGATCCAACATTGGCGTCTCTTATGTTCTTATGTTCAATGGCCATCTAGTCCAACACTCTGTCACACAGTGGCCAAAAATACCAGGTGCCATCAAGAGGTCCAGCAGTGGGGCCAGGACACTAGAAGCCCTCCCACTGTTGACCCCCCCAAGCACCAAGAAGACAGA